ACCAGAACCGAGACCATCCAATGATAATTGATAATCCTCAACCCGAAGCCCTAAACATCAATTGCCAACGACCAAGCCTGCGAAATGCCGCTATTTGTGCCGAGGTTGGGTGCGCTGATATATCCTCTCCACTCGGACTCGCCAGAAAATACTCTTGGTGAGCCGACGGTCTGATTTCAAGCTCAATATTTCATGTGCAGGCTCTTGATCAGACTGACCCAACCCGGCCTGGCGAATATTCCATGTTGAAGACCAGCAATCCATTGGACGACACGTAGACCTCAAGTTTGCGGCACTCGCCGTAGCCCTCCAGCACTATATAAATTACCTCAGCCGATAAACCCTGGCTAACCCTGACAGAGCTCTCGGACACTGCCGAGTCATCTCGAGGATTAGAACTCGGCGCTTTTGTGAGATCTTTCGGTTTGGATCACGCTGCAGCTGGGGTCTCTGAAAATCCAGGGCCCCTTGATGGGGACGTCACAGTAAGGAGTCTGGCATTTTTCTGAATACAGATCGAATTTCTCAAGTTGCCATTGGGGACGTCATATGAGCGCTTCAATAGCTGGAACAGGATCTTAGAGCATGATACCACCCTCAGGAAGGCAGTACTGACTATTCAAGCTTCTATAACGAGGGATAGAGAGCACTTGGAAATTGAGTTGTTGCGGATAGATTCTGGGAAAGCTTTACATATTCTGCAATCATGGGGAAGCCCACCAAACATAGAACATCCCAATAGAATGACTGGGAGTCTTGAAACCTGTCGGCAACCCTGAATTTTGGGGATGCTTCCGTTTGAGCCCCCCTCGAAGTTGGAGTCAGTGCCGCATTGTGCTGCCAAGGCCCCCAATCAAGTCCAGATGTCTCACAACCCAGAAATCCGAAACCTTTCGGGGTCCAGGGTGTCTACTGCAGAACCATTCAACACAATCTCGAATTTGCCCTCTTTGTGCGATGGTGGCCTGGTCAAATGTTTGTCCGTAGAAGGAGAAGTTGAAGGGCAAAGAATACAGCACGGCGTCCTTAGTGCAACATGGGTCCACGGCAACACATGACAGCACAGAACTCGCATATCAACCACCACACCAGCTAAATCATCACCATTTCACTATCATGTTGCAATTCAATAGCCTCCTGTTCTGCGCCACGGGTGACGAACAGTCGGACGTTCATACTTACAGTGCCGTTCCAACCGTGAGAACCATGATTTTGCGACGCATTTTTACTGAGAACACAACCATTGTGGCTTTCCAGCCAAGCAATGTCAATCAATCTTCGATTACTTCCAGAGAGGCATAGCAGACTCCAGCTTCCATGCTCATGGTTTCGGGCTTGTAAGTTACAGGGAAAAGACTGAAGAATACAGTTTTCGAGGTACAAGCGTTACAAGCATCTCCTTGCAGCCTGGGTTCATCATCAGCCCGGTTTGCAGCGAAGCTTCCTCAAGTGATCTGGTGCGTTTCAGGTGGCTCGTGGTTTCAGGCGGCTCGTGGGGCGGTACTGCTATAAAGGTTATACAAAAATGGTGCGCTGAGTAGCCTACAACGAAGGCTCTACGAAATTTCTAGAGACGTTGAGCTCTAGGAAGCATTTCTCAAGCTCGCAATCTAGCTGTCCATCGCAAGAGATGAAGCCCTAAACTGTTAAATTTCAATTTTCATGTCATAAAAAAAACCTGCTACCCCAAACCCTAGACCTTTGTTGATCCTTGCATGTTTTCTTGATTGTTCGGCAGGTCTCCCTAAAACCTATACCCGGTAAACCCGTAAGCCTAGAAACTATAAACCGGATCCACTGTACTGAAACACTAAGACTGAAGCCCCGGACCCTTAGTTTCGGGTATGACAACTCGTAAGTGACCCTAGACTTCAGAAAGCACTGCACGCCTTTGCAAATTGAGAGCAACGCAGCGGGCAGGTGAACAAACCCTTTCTTCACTCACAATTAACCTCAAGGCTTTAAACCCTTAGCCACAATCGCTAAGTTTGCACCCTCCTTCGCTTCAAGTCCCGAAACCCTAAACCGGAACCCGTCAACTCTGAACCTCAACTCACCCAAAAAGAAACCAAGAAGCCCAACTCGCTGCTGTTGGGCAGTGATGCCCAAGCAAAGTCCTGGGATGAAAAGCTCGTCCGGAAGGCGGGCTATTCAGGGCTTGTTGTTTTCTGCAATTTATCTTGTTGCTGTTGTTGTTGTTGTTGTTGATCTTGTTCTTCTTGTTATTCTTGTTCTTCTTGTTGCTCTTGTTGCTCTTGTTGTTCTTGCTGCTGTTGTTGTTGTTGTTGTTTTTGTTGTTCTTCTTGTGGGCCACCTAGGGGCTATGGCCAACTTGCTTCATAGCTTGCTTCATTGCCTGCTGCCTGCTGCTCCTAAGGATCCTCCTTGTCCTGTTCTCCAGGGCGTCCTTCAGAGCCATGCCTGCTACAAGGACGACTATTTGAGCAACTGTCTGCTGTAGTTGCTGTCCACGATTATGCAATGCAATGCTTTCTCAAGCTCGTGGCGTGATCTGCACGCCGATATGGGGTTCCGAACAGAACTCTGTGCAACCTTCAAGAAAAAACATAGAGAACGACTGCAATCGCGAGGGCCCAGTGGCTGGGGCAGGCGAGCTCGGATTGAGCACTGAGCCCGCGAAGGAATACTCATAGAAGCCTCAGCATGGTTTTTGTTGCCAGGGTTGTGTGCCCTTTAAGACAGGTCACTGAAAGCTTCACCATATAGCCCGCCATAGGATGTTAGCGGAGTTCTTGCCGGGCTTTCGAATATTCCGAGTTCAGAGTTTGCAGGTCTCGGGCTCGGGAAAATGCTTCTTCAAAGAGCCTGAAGATTTTCGGGGGTTTCCCCCGTCCGATAGTGCCACAAGCGAAGAAGCCCGGGACCAAGAAACCAGAGGACCAGGGGAGCGCAGGACCAGGAGACCACCGGACCGGCGAAGCACGGGCCCAGGGGACCGGGGCACTGCAGGACCAAGACCGCCACCTTCAAGCCCAACCTAGCAAAGGACAGCCATGGACAGCTGACAGCTTCTCGCCAAAGCTGTAAAAAACACAAACCTGGGCCCGCACATCAACGAAAACATGAAACAAAAAACGACCCCACCTAAAGGCGTTATGGGTAATCTTTGCTTGTTTTATATGGATGCCTATAAGGGTCTCAAAAAGTTCTGCGAGCGGGCCTCCATCAAATCGGATTGCAAGCAGGGTTGTGTTTCTGGGCGACAACTACCGTCTTGCGAAAGAACACCAAACCCTATACACACTAAACCCAAACCCCGAAACCCGAAACCCCCGAACGTCCAAGTAAGGCCTCAAGCGCGAAACCCCCGCAGTTTGACTTAACTGCTACCCTAAACCCTAAGCCCTAAAGGCCCTAAACCCCCGTCCCGACACCGACCCGAAGTCGAAAACCCGAGTCTCAAACCCAAGACGAAGAGCGCGACTGTGTCTTCCCGAATCGTACTTCGGGGCGGACTTCCCATGACCTATGCTCGATGAAAGGAGGATTTCGGGCACTTCAGGCTCGGGCTTTCGGTTCTCAAAGCTCGCCTCAAAGGGTGGATGCTTGGCGGAGCGGGTTTAGGGTTTAGTGTCACCGTCACCAATGCACTAGCTGAACTCAACAGTTCTTATAGACTCATAGAACCCCTCTAGGAGACCCAAAGAGCGTTTACAGAAAGCCTGCCGCGTCAGCAAACCTTATAGAAACCTTATAAGACCCTTTATGCATCCCAATGTAGCACGTCAAAGAACGGAGTTTGTCAGCTGCCTTAGCGCTTGGTGGGTGCGCTTGGTTGATACTGGGGTCTGAATAGCAAGCCCGCATGACCTCGTGTAATGAGGCCCCTGTACACGGTCACTTCTCTGGTCCTCCGGGATCAACCAATCCTTTTTGCGCTTCGTTGCGGCACTCAAGAGACTGTAAACTTTCAGCTTTAAGGGGGGTTTACCATCCCAGAAGCTTTAGCGTTTACGAAACCGGCGGCTAAGCGTTCGTCAGTTCGGTGCATCTGAGTTCGGGTGCACAGAATTGGAGCCGGAGGCCGAAAACATGGCTTCCCTCACTCCCCGAGCCTTTGGACTCCCGAAGGCCCCTTGAAAATCCTTCAACCTGAAGAAGGGGGGAAGGGCTTAGTGTTTAGGGTTTAGGTACCCAGATACACTTAAGCCAAAATGGGTCCCTACAGTAAAAGCTGTCGGGCCAATGGCCAAAGTACATTATAATACTACATAGGTACCAGAACCCTGAAGTGTTTGGGAGCATAAGAATCCAGAGACGGTGGCTACAATGCATTATCGAGGCTATCTCGTCATCCTATTCTAACTATAGTCTCCATTGTAGTTCCTTTTGGGGGTTACCTTTTAGGATCCTTAATACAAAATTGGTCAAACCAAAAAAAGGAACTACAAAGGAGACTATAGGTATTATTGCAACGCCTTCAAACCCTTTTAGGCACTCACTCGCAGGTCGGCCCTAAAAAACTTGGAACCTGGTCGAGTCGAGGAGGATTGAAACTAAGTCTTCATAGAGGGTTTAGGGTTTAGGATTTGGGGTTTAGGGTTTAGGATTTGGGGTTTAGGATTTAGGGTTTAGGGTTTAGGATTTAGGGTTTAGGGTTTAGGGACTGAAAAGACTTAAGCAGTACGGAAAGGCTTCCTGGACTTTGTTTCTAATCTCGAGATGACACTCAGGGCTGGATGGAAGCAGGGACGGCAAAGCTTCTAGACAGTAGCTGCTCGTCTTCTCTCTCCTCTTGCTGCTGATGGCTCGGCTTCAGGCTCTAAGATTCGAGGGCTTACGGGAGTGTTTCTGAATGATCTGTCTTGCGCTGCGCCCTGGGCAAACCGGAACACTCCAAATCCTGATGTCTACTATAAGGGCCTTAATAATTAGAACAGGGCTTTGGGGCCCATCATTTATGAAATGGAACCCCAAAAAAGAGTACTGGTAATGATTTAGGCCCCTATTTTGCAGCGCTTTTTTTGACCCACGAGCCCCTAGCAATCGGGTGCAATCTTGCCGATCGACCGCCAGTGCTTCGCCTCGAAGGAAGCAACATCTGCAGTGCAAATGGGTCTAGAGCGAGACCGGGGCCTCTTGGCACCTGTTCGCGAAAACCATCTCACAGTCTCGTGATGGAACAAGCCATCCAATCTTTCACACTTCACTGGGATGTGTTTCGCCGCCTCCACGACAGCAGGATTTCGGGAGATCGGAACCGTTTCAGGATGATAAAACAAGAACTTGCTCATCTTCGTGATCGGCCAGGGTTTGCACCATGAGCTGTTTCTCTGCATCGCTTGCTTTATTTCGTAAAAATCTCGTGCCAGCCGAACTACATCGATCGCTGCACGCGGTGGGGACTTGTTTGGAAAAGTCTGGCGAATGTCGACGGACCTCTTGCATTGCAGCCACTTCTTGCCTGCCAAGCCAAGACTTGCATTGCAGATTAAAAAAGCCGCACCGCTACAGTTCACCTCCTTCAAATAGTCATAGGACACAGGAATAACCTTTTCGAAGACTTGCAACTTGTTGAGCAGCTTCAGCTGTCCGTCCACGTCGCCCTCTGCATGGGCGGGATCTCGCGCGCTCTGAGCCAAGTAGGTCGACAATGCCACCGGAGTGCCTTAGGGCTTATAGTTAGGGTTTAGGGTTTTAGGGCTTTAGGGTTTTTAGGGTTTTAGGGGTTTAGGGTTTTAGGGGTTTTGGGGTTTTAGGGGTTTAGAGTGCCTTAGGGCTTGGGCCGTTTAGGCCCCAGGTCACCCTGGCACAACTTATACTTCCCTGTCAAGACTCCACTACTCAACAGACAAAAGCCAGAACATGGAGAATAAAACAAACACCACCAAAAAACACACTTGCATATAGGAAAGCAAGCGTGCTGTCATACGTGCTCGCTTGTGACCACTGTGATGCAACCCAGTCAGCTGCATTCCGGTGGAAGACCACTGCAGAGAGGCACGTGTCAGCACCAACTTGGGCCTTGAAGCATCGCCAAGTTCCGTGGTCAAACTTCGTGAAGGCTTCAGAAGACAAGACCACCAACTTCGATGAGTTAAGCTTCGACTGGAGGAAGCTGCAGTTGTCATTCTGCTCCTTTACCACACCCTGAGATGCCAAGTCGACTTGCCGCTTACAGTGCAGGTAAAGAGCAGTGGCTTGGCAATGATGTAGGCAGTTGGCATGTGGGAAACCATGGAAGCCCACACTCAAGCCCTGGGTGCGCAGCCAATCGGCATTCTGATCCAAGAAGTCTTGAATGGCTGTGGTGCCCGTTTTCTGCGGCCCGACATGGACCATTAGCCTGGTGCCCCTGCAGTAAGCTGCAGTTGAGTCCTGACTCACTGAAAGGTACTGCTCTCCCTTTGCCCTTTGCTCCTGCTTCTCCGTGGCGTATCTCCTCGAGGCATTGGAAGCCAGCTGTGCCGCTGGAGCGAGCAGGCACAGCACCAGGAGAACCGCCAGAGCCATCACCCGTGGAGGAATCTCCATCCCCGCTTAACCCTAAACCCCTAAACCCTAAACCCTAATGAGAGATCAGGATCTAAGTGCGGTCATCCTGAAGATCTGCGCCTCCATCCAGCAAACCTGGACACCGAGTCCCGCCATCCCCGCTTCTCTAGGCAACGGCTCCGGGAGATCTTGCAGGACGAGTTGTGCAAAAAGGGATTTATGTTTGAGGGGTGGGGCTTGACAGTTCAGGGGTTTTCTCCAATATCCCTTAATTGAGGAATATGCATTAAATCATATTAGGGATCCTACTATAATTTAAGGGGCTGCCCCAAACCCTAAACCCTAAACCTCTAAACCCTAAAACCTAAAACCTTGGGGCTGCGGACTTAAAAGGGTTTCAAGCTTAACTAATATACCGTAAATCATATTAGGGATCCTGCTACAATTGAAGGGGCTGCGGACTTTTAAAGGGTTCCCGGTTCTTAACGCCCGCATCTAGGTTCCCCAGTGACCCCTTAACAATAAGGGTACCCCTTTTCCTACTGCTTGGTGTTCAGAAGGAGACCCCAAACCAAAAAGGGTTCTAGTGGGGAACCCAGTGCTAGAAGGGTACCTTTAAGGGCTCTATTCCTGTATCGGTGGCCTAGTGCTAGAAGGGTACCTTTAAAGGCTCTATTCCTGTATCGGTGGTTCCTCACCCCAACAAAGGGTACTACTGGGGAACCTTAAACCCTAAACCCTAAACCCAAACCAAAAAGGGCAAAAGGGTACTACTGGGGAACCTAGGCATGCTCTGGGCCTGGGATCCGAAAAAGTCGGATGTGCAGAGCAAAAGGGAAGCGACTCAGCCGGTGCCTCTTAGGGTTTATAGGGGGGTTTAGGGTTTAGGGGTTTAGGGGTTTAGGGTTTAGGGATTTAAGGGTTTAGGGTTTAAGGCACTTCACCGTAAACCCTCAACCCTAACCGTAACCCTCAACAAAATCCAAACAACGACAAAACAGCCAGCGCCTTGACCCTAAACCTCCGAAGCCCTCATAGCAGCGAGGGACCTACATCCAAAGCCACCCTCGAAGAGAGACCTTTGCAGAGTAAACTATGCAAAGCTCAAGGGTGGAACAGGGGCCTCGGTTGTCCCTGAACAAGATGCTCAGGGTTTAGGGTTTAGAGTTTGGGGCTTAGAGTGAAGAGAGCGGCATCCTTTCGCTAAATCGTTGAACCCACTGCCTTTTTGCAGGAAAGGTCCTACTAGCTAATGGAGCTCAACATATACATGTTCACTCATGCGGGTCTATGACGATTCTGCTTGGCTCTATACATACCTATGTATACTTGCTCACGTGCTTCTGTTAACAAGAATGCACCGTGAGGAACGGTCGCGTAGAAGCTCCCCCCGGATGTGATGTTCAGCGCCTGTAGGAACTTCTATGGGGCTTGGAATTTTTAGCGACCCTAAACCCTAAACCCTAAAGACTTAGTGCTAGTATTCCTCCGAGTTCTCACCCCAAACGCTCCGGGCTATTATGGCTCCCGAAAAGATTGACTCCAGCATCTTGAACACTCTGCAACGTCCTGAACTCTAGCAGACTCTACCTCCGAGGGACACGGCCCACCAACAATCGATAGTAGTGGCCTTAAAGAAAATGGTATACATAATATTCCTAAACCCTAAACCCTTAACCCTAAGCCCTAAACCTTTAACCCTAAACTCTAAGCCCTAAACCCTAAAGCCTATTTACATTAGAGGGACTTGAAAGGAATGACATGATACACTAATTATCAATTCCGACACCTCTACTCGGCTTGGATCCTTGGCTTCTCCAACCCGGTGCCACCGAAATCCACAGCACGAAGGGCAACTGCTGCATAACGTATAATGTTCTGTCTATGTGTGTGTATATATATATACACATTATTTATTTATATTATCAGACCTGCACAGAGAAAAAGAGATCGTCGATAATGGGCAGGAGATTCAATAGGTCAACAGAGAAAATGTATGACGCATCAAGATGTACCTGCTGCTGCCTGGGGGCAAAGGACCCTCACCTTCGTTGCCGACCTCGAAAGTCACCTTAAGAGATCCCCAGTCTGGCTTGAACTTTGGGCTGAAGGGCTTTCGTGTTTAGGGTTTAGGCTTTGGCTTAGGCTTCTGGGTGAAGGGCGTTCTAGGGTTTAGGGCTTAGGGTGTGGCTTAGGTTTAGCGCTTAGTTTTGGGGTTTAGGGTTTAGTTTTTGGTTTAGGGCAGTTTAGCGCTAAGGGCAGGCTGTATAAGGACTCAACGCATGTTTCCTGTGGGTTCTGAAGGCTAATTCTGACCTGAGGTAAAGGGTCTCTGCAGGACATTCTACTTAGAGGCCCAAGGGAAATAGTAAGTAGGTGACAAGTTAGAAGTAGGGTTATTGTTGGAGGTAACTCCATTTAGGGTACTTACAACTCTGCCTATGACCTACTAAGTCCCCTGGGCCGCTAAGTAGTCAGGAGCTCCTGATTTCAACCCTAAACCCAAAAGCCTAAACCCATCCTGTAGACTCCATTGTAGTTCCGTTGCCAAAGCCTCCATGTGCAAATGTATTAGCCATCAGAAGGTTCTTAGGGGCCGAGTACCTTAGCCCAAAAAAGGTTAACCTTTTGACTTATAATAGGTTTATATAAGCCCCAAAAGGTTAAATAATAGGTTTATATAAGCCCCAAGAGGTTAAATAATGGGTTTATATAAGCCCCAAGAGGTTAAATAATAGGTTTGTATAAGCCCCAAAAGGTTAAATAATAGGTTTATACAAGCCCCTAGAGGTTAAATAATAGGTTTATATAAGCCCCAAGAGGATAAGTAATAGGTTTGTATAAGCCCCAAAAGGTTAAATAATAGGTTTATATAAGCCCCAAAGGTTAAAGGTTACCTACTCAGCCCCTTCGGGTTCTTGTAAAGGAGCTCCAGACTTGGAGGCCCCCAGAAGGACGTAGTAATTGGGGCCAAAGGTAGGGTTGTAACTAGGATGAGGGGTTTAGGGTTTTAGGGTTTTAGGGCTTAGGGTTTAGGGTTTTAGGGTTTAGGGCTTTAGGGTTTAGGGTGCCCAGAAAGGTACACATAACCCTCTTGCTAAGCCTGCCCTGAGCCACGGTATTCATGTTTATTCGGGCCTGGGTTACTCCAAGAACTTCTCCCGAAAGCCCTTATGTTGTAGCTTACCGCTTACTGCTTAACCCTGAACCCTAAACCCCAATAGGCCCCTAAACCCTAAAACTCGAAAACCCTAAACCCACGCTTAGAGCCCCACGGAAGCGGGATGTTCGGCAGAAGGTGGCCGGCCAGTGAAAGCACGCATCTAGGCCAGAGATGGAGGAAGGATCGGGGGTTTGGGGGTTCTGGCGGTTTCGGGTAGGGGGTTTAGGGTTTGGGGGTTTTGGGCATTGGGGGTTTCGGCTAGGGGGTTTAGGGTTTAGGGGTTTAGGGTTTAGGGGCTTTCTCCGACTTCAGGTGTGGGGTTTTTGAGCTTGGGGGCTTTCTGTGTATTTTGGGCTTTACCGGTCGACTCTTCCTTCGAATTCCCTCATCCCAGATGTCAACTACGAGCCGAAAGACCTGTGCAAGCGGCCTCTGACCGCTCTCTGAGTCTCTTGACCCCACCCTCAGGGTCCAAGTGCCGAATTTACAAACTTACTATCCTAAGCCCAAGTACCCAATTGTTAGGGCCCTTGGACCGGTAGGTCTAGAGCTTTGTCACAAAGGCCTCGAACACGACGACAGACAGCAAACCTAGGCCTTTACAAACCAGTCATCGTTGATTTATCACAGCTTGACACAACAGAATGTTGGTCAACTGTCACTTCTAGAAGCCTTGCCTTCCACTCCGCAAGCCTTGAACCTAAACCCCCCTCCACAAAAACCGTTTCTCCATAAGATCCTGCCAGCCCTTCGAGTCGAACTGTGCAACCGTAACATTACCCATAGGCTCCTAAGTAGTTCCTTTTTGTGGGCTTATGTTTAGAATCCTAATAAGGTAATCCCAAAAGGGAACTACTAAGGAGCCTATGGGTATTGCCTTACTATTCCATTTATGGACTATCGAAATTCAAGTTTGCGGTCTAGAGGTTCTCTACTTGGGTGCTTGGTACCACGGATCCTCCCAGTTCACGGTGTATGCTAAGGTCCTGAGCTTTTGCTGAAAACCCTAAGCCCCTAAACTCTACACCCGTACTTTCTAAACTGCGTCTGCAACAGACTACCCTAAACCCTAAACCCTATACCCTAAACCCTACGCCGTGTAGTCAACCCAAGTCTATTCCCAGCTCCTAACCCAAAACTACGTAAACCCTAAACCCTAGACCCTCAAATTCCCAGCTCAGAGGGCCCCCTCCCAGCGCAGCAGTACACGCAGGCTGCCACCGCCCTGCAGCCGCGCCAAGAGGTCCTGCCCCTGCTCCTGCTTAGGGGTTTAGGTTTTAGGGTTTATGGTTTAGGGTTTAGGGGTTTCGGGTTTAGGGTTCGGATCTTGCGGAACCCTATGTAAGCACTTTCGAAGTTGTGCGTTCTGGGGGGCTTGCAGGCCTGGAGCGCTTTCGCGGCTTGGCAATCCGAGTTGAAGCCATTCCGCATTTCTTCTGGGCTGTGGGAGCCTACATCCTCCTATCCGATAAAGCCTAAGACCTGGTGCTCGGAAGACTGGGGTTGGCTTTCTGATTCTGAAAGCATGGTCGATTTAGGGTTTAGGGCTTAAGGTGGTCATGTTTAGGACAAATGGTGCATGGTTTTACGCTTAGAAAGGGTTTCAGAGAATTTGCAGCGGGGCCGAACAGAAATGGCTGCCAGCAGGATCCTTGTTACAAGGAGATCCGGAGACCGTACCTAA